TATGAAAAGAAACTTGAATAAACTAAACCCGACGACGCTAGAAAAGAGAGAGGGAAGACATATTAAAGACATAAAATACTTAAGAGGGATTGACACTAACAAACAAAAATGGTCGCAATGAATTTCAACAAAACAAAACTAACTCCGTTTCTGCCCGAAACGCTTTGCGTAATAGTGGCTTTAGGCATTGTATGTACTAGCTCTATCATTGTATGTACTAGCTCTATCATTGTATGTACTAGCTCTATCATTGTATGTACTAGCTCTATCATTGTATGTACTAGCTCTATCATTGTATGTACTAGCTCTATCATTGTATGTACTAGCTCTATCATTGTATGTACTAGCTCTATCTATTAACCTAACAAACTTTGTAAAATCTCTTTATGTATGTACCTTACCTAAATAAAAATTATTATTATTATTATTATAAAAGGGGCATAGATGGAAGTTTGACTTAGGTGAATCATTGATATGTTAAAAAGTTTTCATTTAGTGTAAAAGTAGTGGAAAATGGATTGAACTAAAGGAACAGTTGTAAAATCAAACTCCATTCACAATTTTAAAAGTAGATATGATAGGGAAACAGGCCAGGTGGCATTCCATTAAACAATTGGCGACAAGAAACGGGGGGTCCAAGAGCTAAAGCCCGATTCTGCAGGCACAAATGAGCACACACACACAGACACGTAGAGGTGTGTAACACACCTGATCTAGAGAGACAGCAAACACTAGTATAAATTGAAAGTGACTGGTTTGGAAACAGGTTGCTTGGTTTATGACTGATTTGGAAATAGGGGGGGGAGGGGTGATTTATGGAATAAATTACTGGATATCATAACATACAAGGGAACCCTTGATTGTTTCAAGGGTAGGTTAGACATATATATAAATAAGAGCTGCCTCATATGGGTCAATAAGCCTTATGTTGTTTTAGTAAAAATCTTATGTAAGTGGAACAAAACTGAGCCAGTAGTGGTGAGAGCAACCACCAGTGGCAGCTTCAAGAGCAAGTATGACGGCGCTGGAACCTAGCACATATAAATACACAGGTAAAATAGCTATGAGGTGGGACTCTAGAGCTACAGCTCGCTCGCCGTACACGCACACACACACACACACACACACACACACACACACACACACACAGCATATGAATGAGCTGCCTGCCTAGATGATTGAACTGCCTACCTGTGACGACGCGAGAAAGAGACCTGGGAGTGGACGTAACGCCTAATCTAACTCCTGAGGCACATATAAATAGGATAGCGACAGCAGCGTACTCTACACTGGCAAAAGTTAGAACATCATTCAGAAACCTAAGTGAGGAGGCTTTTAGAGCGCTTTACACTGCCTACGTGACGTCAGTCTTAGAGTATGCCGCCCCAACATAGAGTCCCCACCTGAAGAAACACATAAGGAAACTGGAAAAGGTTTAGACGTTTGCGACGAGGCTCGTCCCAGAGTTACGAGGGATGGGATATGAAGAGCACCAGAAAGAACTGAACCTTTCGATACTAGAAAAAAGGAAGGGAGAGGGAGGATATGATAGGAACGTATAAAATACTCAGGGGGAATTGACAAAGTGGAAATAGATGAAATGTTCACACGTAATAACAGAACGAGGAGACATGGGTGGAAGCTGGAAACTCAGATGAGTCACAGAGATGTTAGGAAGTTTTCTTTTAGCGTGAGAGTAGTGGACAAATGAAATGCACTTAAGGAGCAGGTTGTGGAAGCAAACTCTATTCATAATTTTAAAACTAGATATGATAGGGAAATGGGACAGGAGTCATTGCTGTAAACAACCGATGACTCGAAAGGCGGGAGTCAAAGCTCGATCCTGCAGGTACGAATAGGTGAGTACAAGTAGGTGAGTACAGCAGCGTGAGCAACTAAGCTACGATGGTCAATTTCGGAGAAGCCTAAAATTACATGGATTGAGTAAAGATATATACAATTTTTGTAACATACGTGAGACTTAAGTTAGAATATGCAGCAGTTGTCGCGTATCCAAATGTATAAAAAAATAGAAAATGCAGACAAGCTACTAAATGGCTCCCGGACCTAGGCGAAGCGCCATTCTAGAATGGAGGAAATGTAGATGTTTATCTCTCAGAATGTTTGGTAATATGTTTATTGTTTGTGATGTGTGTCTATGTATGTATTAACACGATGTACTGAACGGGGTGAGAATAGCTTGAGCTACCTCATCCCTTTGTGTGTATTTTACCTCAATAAACTTATTTCAATTTCACTTTCTAGAATGGCAGGAGGCGCTAAATATGATAAAACAGGCAAACTGAAGAAAAATAGTTGATACGAAGGCGTAAAAACAAGTTACAAAAACATAGGTGTCGTAAAGACATTTTTGTTGTCGTTGTCTAAAATGGTTGACAGATGAAATAACTTCAAGGAGAGGGTAGCGCATGTCACCCTCACTGACATGATGGTCCATAACTATATCACACAGATTAAAGAGAAGGCAGGACACAACGAGCTCAGCTCTCATCCTCTAACTACACTAAGGTAATTACACCTGAGTCATAACACATACAGTCATATACGGGAGGAAGATGACGGTTAATAAGAGAGACGGAGGCCAGACAGACAGAAAATTACAACATACGAGGTCTTCAGTGAAAGGGTCCTGGTCATTAAACTAGTACCCGAGAAGCTCCAGGTTACTGGACCATTCTCAATCGACTTGAGAATGGTCCAGGACGGACCGAAACGTCGTCGTCAATTCACCTTCAAGTGTGTGGTCTGGTCAACATACTTCAGCCACGTTATTGTGACTCATCGCCTGCTTACTGGAGGGGGGGGGGAAGGGGGGATTAAGACCAGCCCAGAGGTGGAGACGGCAGTAGAGTATGTCAAGAAACTGGAGAAACTAGATGTTAAAAGATGCTACGTAGGACTATTCAGACTCTCACTGTAGATACTAAACGAAACTGCAGAACAACTGTGCTAGACGTATTAACAATCTTTAACGACTCTCAAGAAAAGGTAGGTTGACCAGACCACACACTAGAAGGTGAAGGGACGACGACGTTTCGGTCCGTCCTGGACCATTCTCAAGTCGATTGTCACAATCGACTTGAGAATGGTCCAGGACGGACCGAAACGTCGTCGTCCCTTCACCTTCTAGTGTGTGGTCTGGTCAACATTCTTCAGCCACGTTATTGTGACTCATCGCCTGCAAGAAAAGGTAGAATTGCCAGACAACTAGAAAACAGCCAACATCAAGCTTATATGCAAAAAAAGAGACATGCATACAACGCAAGATTTTCATTAAATTACAAAATGGATTTAGGAAAGAGAAACTAGTCCTGATTGAAAAACTAACTAGAGAACTAAGAAAAGCTAAATGAGACTAAACAAGCAAGAGCTGGATGGAATGACTACATCTTACTGGACTGACCTTTGACCTTTGACACTGTTCTGTATAATAGTTTTTCACAAGCTCGAGGAATACCGAAGAAACGTAAAGAACACTAAACTGGAAAGGGAAGTACTCGTCAAACTGGGAGCAGTCACAGGAACAAGGAACAAGTGGGAATAAATCGGAGTGGAGTGACCGGTTAATGACCTGAGAAAATAGATTCCTACATGTTGATGCTCACTGACAATGGGAACTTAATATTGAGATTCGTAACTGCCAGTCATGAGGCCTGCAGAATGTTCCAGGAAAACCTGGAAAGGTTGCAAGTCTGGACCGTGAGATGGCTGCTTGATTTAAACTTGAGTCAGTGTAAGGTAGCCTAATGAGAGAGGGGCCAAGAATAAGGAGACCAAAAAGTCAATACACACTGAGAGAATGTCAGCACACGGAATCGGAAAATGTTAAGAATGTAGTAAACATAATGTTCAGTCTGCTTCTAGCACCGGATAAAAGGCTGGCAAACATCCAGGCTTTCAGATATCTGTACAAGGAGACATTCTGGAAACTGTACACAGCCTATGAGAGACCAGCGCTGGAGATTGTGCCACGGAAATGGAACCTAACTAACCCTAAATAACAATTTCAAGTACAGTGATATACCGCGTTACATAACTGTGAACGCTGAAGGACTGAAGGAACGCATATAGGGAAGGACTGAAGTAACTGTAGATCACAACCTAAGACACGGGCAAGAGGTGACATGACACACAGTTCTGTAGGAACCATTCGTCGAGCAGCACACTCATACACCACAATGAGCAAGTCCAGATTACTCACAGTAAACATATATTACTATTCCAATGTGTAAGTAGTGTTCGAGTTGGATGGTTAGAAATATATTGAGAGAGAAACTATATAGAGCTTCAGCTCACACACACACACACACTATCAAAATGTCCGTCCGCTGAAGAGGCGGAATAGTGTCCCCTCGTTTCCGCCCTCTAAACGAGGGACGAATTGAGAGTTGATGGAGGCCAGGGAGGGGAGGGGCGGGGAACACCCGGAGAGGGGAACAGCGAAGTGGTCAAAATGGTGGAGGGACATGAGGGTGAGGGGGCGGCGACACACACTGGGTCGGTGACAGTGTCGGGTGGACAGGTAGACCGGCTCTGGCACGAGCATGTGAATCCGCAGGGCTGGCATTTGGGGCATTATGGAGCATGTAAAGCGGAGGGCCTGAGTGCCAGTGTTGGGGAGAAGCATCATAGGGGAGGGAGGATGGGCCGCCCTCCCTACAGCCTCCCAGACTCCAACAGCGTATTGATCCACTCGGCCCAGATAAACACACGCCCGCCCGCGCCCACCCCGCCCGTGCTACATGTACGTGTAGATAGGGTGTAGGTACACCTCAACCCCACACCCATCGCCACCCACAAACCTCCGCCCCGGCAAGATAATGGGTCATCCCGGGTCAGGGAACAAGATGGGCGGTGCGACCCGGCAGGATATGAGGCTGCTGCCAGCCATCGGGTGCGCATCTGTCACTCTCGCACCTGTCCGCCGCCCCGCGCCCCTTGTTGGTCACCTGCACTGCAGGGTGAGTCTGGGCACCTACCTGGGCACCTGCAGACGACACACTGGGCGACGAGGTGGCCATGATGGGTATATTTGCCGCCCGGGAGGTACAGGAGTGTTCCGCGGGCGCTCTCCGCCGAAGACTGAACTCTCGGCCGCTAGGTGGCTGTGGCTGCTCCCACCACCCGGCGCACCTCCCTGCCGGCGGCCTGGCCCCGCCACTACCCGCCACCACCCGCCACTACCCACCAGTACCCGCCACTGCTTCCGACCTGCACCCACCAGTACCCGCCACTACCTACCAGTACCCGCCACTGCTTCCGACCTGCACCCACCAGTACCCGCCACCACCCACCAGTACCCGCCACCACCCTCCAGTACCCGCCACTACCTACCAGTACCCGCCACCACCCACCAATACCCGCCACTGCTTCCGACCTGCACCCACCAGTACCCGCCACCACCCACCAAGTACCCGCCACCACCCTCCAACTACCCGCCCGGTCTTCCCCACTTGCCACTATAACTCCCTTAACTACCCGTAACCACTCTCCATTACCCGCAACCACCTACCACTACAACCAACCACCTCTCACTACCTGCCACCACTACCCAACCACGACTATCATCTCACACCTAATATAGTACATTTATTTATTTATTTATTTATGTCATATATGTCAACGTTCGATCATATATGTCAACGTTCGATCATACATATCAACGTTCGACCATATATATGTCAACGTTCGACCATATATGTCAACATTCGACCATATATATCAACGTTCGACCATATATATCAACGTTCGACCATATATATGTCAACATTCGACCATACATATCAACGTTCGACCATATATATGTCAACATTCGACCATAAATATTAACGTTCGACCATATATGTCAACGTTCGTCTAGGCAAATAGTAGCACAAATTAAATGGGATACTATGATGAGAAAATTAGGCACGTGATTATTTTACTTTTGAATAAAGTTAAACAATATAGTCCACGGTGAATCTGAAACCTTTAACATAGCTCGTCTTACGTCTGTCTGCTGTTGTATGGACATCCTTAAGGGTATCGAAGATTTGTTGTTAATATCTTGTTAATATCTTGAGCAATAGTTTAATAATTAATTCGCCTATTATGCCCCCTCTCTCCCGCCCCCCACAGTGGGCAGCGGTGGAAAAGTTATAGTCACCCATATTTAGTATTTACAGTTAAGAATCTGGGGACATTTGTCTAAAATTTCTGGTAGGTCATATTTAATAATATATTTATATATTTTTGACCCGCAGGAAGCGAGGTTATCGCTCTTCTGACCATTCAAATTGTTGTTGTTTCAGATTTAGCTACTCAGAACGAAGTGTCCATGTAGCACGGGCTATGGTGAGCCCGTAATGACCATTCAAAGTGGATAGATCTTTTCACTTTCACATAAGATTTTGAAATATGTGAAGTATTTTTATATATACTTCACATATTTCAAAATATATTTAAGATTTTGAAAATATGTTAAGTGTTTATTATATTTATATATTTAAGATTTTTAAATATGTGAAGAATATTTATTTAAAAGTAAATTCATATATTTCATTGGATACACAGAAATTATATTGAATTCTGATTTTGTCCTATCGAGTTCTGAATTTTTAACGTAGTTTCCCTCCATAAGTTTACGTTTTCTCTTATAGTAAAAGAAAATCATCAACATTTTATGATAGACTAAAATAATATTGAAACGTGTCTAATTTTTTTTTTTTTTTTTTTTTTTTTTTTTTTTGAGATATATACAAGAGTTGTTACATTCATGTACAGCCACTAGTACGCGTAGCGTTTCGGGCAGGTCCCTGGAATACGATCCCCTGCCGCGAAGAATCGTTTTTTCATCCAAGTACACATTTTACTGTTGCGTTAAACAGAGGCTACAGTTAAGGAATTGCGCCCAGTAAATCCTCCCCGGCCAGGATACGAACCCATGACATAGCGCTCGCGGAACGCCAGGCGAGTGTCTTACCACTACACCACGGGGACTGCCCATGCCCAATTAAATTTGTTTACCTGACTTTACTCATTTTTCCCGATGATTTTATCAGATGGATTTTTAACTGCAGCTATGTCATGGCTTAGTACAGTTGGCTGGATTTTTCTCTCTCATAAACCCAATGTACATTCTTGTATATAAATAAATAAATAAATAAATAAATAAAAATATAAAATAAATAAATAAATTTATTTATTCAAGAGTCAAATTTCCGACATTTCAGATATTTTGAAAACTGCAGGGGAGGTTTGGGCAAAATATGACCCATCGCCGTTTTCAGTAATTGGCATATTTTCGATATAAAAGGTCGTTATTTGAAATTGAAAATAGGTGCAGAAAGTCAGAATTCGGCTCAAAAATCACGCTCAGGAGTCAGATTTCCGACATTTTAGATATTTTGAAAACTGCAGGGGTGTTTGGGCAAAATATGACCCATCGCCGTTTTCAGTAATTGGCATATTTTCGGTATAAAAGATCCTATGTTGAAAATGAAAATAGGTGCAAAGAGTCAGAATTAGGCTCAAAAATGAGGCTCAGGAGTTAAATTTTCGACATTTCAGACATTTTAAAAACTACAGGGGGGTTTGGGCAAAATATGACCCAGCGCCGTTTTCCGTAATTGGCATATTTTCCGTATAAAAGGTAGTAATTTGAAAATGAAAATAGGTGCAGAGACTCAAAATTCCGCTAAAAAATGACACTCAGGAGTCAAATTTCCGACATTTCGGATATTTTGAAAACTGCAGGGGGGTTTGGGCAAAATATGACCAATTGCCGTTTTCAGTAATTGGCATATTTTCGGTATAAAAGGTCGTAATTTGAAAATGAAAATAGGTACAGAAAGTCAGATTTCGGCTCAAAAATCACTCTCAGGAGTTAAATTTCAGACATTTCAGACATTTTGAAAACTGCAGTGGGATTTGGGCAAAATATGACCCATTGCCGTTTTCAGTAATTGGCCTATTTTCGGTATAAAAGGTCGTAATTTGAAATTGAAAATAGGTGCAGAGAGTCAGAAATTGGCTAAAAAATCACGCTCAGAAGTTAAATTTCCGAGATTTCAGATATTTTAAAAACTGCAGGGGGGTTTGGGCAAAATATGACCCATCGCCGTTTTCAGTAATTGACCTATTCTCAGTATAAAAGGTCGTAATTTGCAATTGAAAATAGGTGCAGAGAGTCAGAATACGGCTCAAAAATTACGCCCAGGAGTCAAATTTCCGACATTTCAGATATTTTGAAAACTGCAGGGGGGTTTGGGCAAAATATGACCCATCGCCGTTTTCAGTAATTGGCCTATTTTCGGTACAAAAGGTCGCAATTTGAAAATGAAAATAAGTGGAGAGAGTCAGAATTGGGCTCAAAAATCACGCCCAGGAGTCAAATTTCCGACATTTCAGATATTTTGAAAACTGCAGGGGGGTTTGGGCAAAATATGACCCATCGCCGTTTTCAGTAATTGGCATATTTTCGGTACAAAGGGTAGTAATTTGAAAATGAAAATAGGTGCAGAGAGCCAGAATTCGACTCAAAAATCACGCTCAGGAGTCAAATTTCCGACATTTCAGATATTTTGAAAACTGCAGGGGGATTTGGGCAAAATATGACCCATCGGCGTTTTCAGTAATTGACCTATTCTCGGTACAAAAGGTCGTAATTTGAAAATGAAAATAGGTAGAGAGTCAGAATTCGGCTCAAAAATCACACCCAGGAGTCAAATTTCCGACATTTCAGATATTTTGAAAACTGCAGGGGGGTTTGGGCAAAATATGACCCATCGCCGTTTTCAGTAATTGGCATATTCTCGGTATAAAAGGTCGTAATTTGAAAAGGAAAATAGGTGCAGAGAGTCAGAATTTGGCTCAAAAATCACTCTCAGGAGTCAAATTTCCGACATTTCAGACATTTTGAAAACTGCAAGAGGGTTTGGGCAAAATATGACCCATCGCCGTTTTCAGTAATTGGCATATTTTCGGTATAAAAGGTCGTAATTTGAAATTTAAAATAGGTGCAGTGAATCAGAATACGGCTCAAAAATCACGCCCAGGAGTCAAATTTCCGACATTTCAGATATTTTGAAAACTACAGGAGGGTTTGGGCAAAATATGACCCATCGCCGTTTTCAATAATTTGCATATTTTCGGCATAAATGGTCGTAATTTGAAAATTGAATTAATTTGAATTGGCAGTTTTCAAAATATCTGAAATGTCGGAAATTTGACTCCTGAGCGTCATTTTTTAGCCAAATTCTGGCTCTCTGCACTTATTTTCATTTTCAAATTACTACTTTTTATACCGAAAATATGCCAATTACTGAAAAGGACGATGGGTCATATTTTGCCCAAACCCCCCTGCAGTTTTCAAAATATCTGAAATGTCGGAAATTTAACTCCTGAGCGTGATTTTTCAGCCGAATTCTGGCTCTCTGCACATGTACTTTTACCTGAATAAACATTTTGAATTTTGAATTTGAATTTTGGAAAAGAAAGGGTACTAGATGATTGACACAGGTCATAAAACTAGCATTAGTAACCAAGAGGAACCTCTGGAGAACTTACAAATCCACGATGGACATCATTGATTATGAGTTATGCAAAAAGGGCACTAAACTCGGCCACTCAGAAAATCAGATCAGCCAAAAGTAACTATGACAGAAAAATTGCCCAAAACATAAAGAAAGATCCAAAATTGTTCTATGCCTATATAAGGGTTAAAACCAAAACAAAGGACTCAGTTGGATCCTTTATAGATCAGACTAACCCAGCTATAATGGATGATAAGAAGGCAGCAAACACATTAAATTATTTTGTTTGTTTGTTTGAGATACAGTATATACAAGAGTTGCTACATTCATGTACAGCCACTAGTACACGTAGCGTTTCGGGCAGATCCCTGGAATACGACCCCCAGGAAGAATCGTTTTTACAACCAAGTACCTATTTTACTGTTGAGTTAAACAGAGGCTACAGTTAAGGATTTGCGCCCAGTAAATCCTCCCCGGCCAGGATACGAACCCAGGACAAAGCGCTTGCGGAACGCCAGGTGAGTGTCTTACCACTACACCAAGGAGACTGGTAAATTATATTATATCAGTGTTCACACTCTTAAGGTTGAATGACATCCCATCACCCACACAAATGATTGAAGGAGGGGAAGGAGAATGAATTTTGGAATATACCCATAACATGCAAAATAATTGTAAAGAACATTAACAAATTAAAAATCAAGCGTACTTTTGACTATAAGGAAAAGTACGTAATGGTTCAACTAAATAAATATCTGGTGCACCCCCATTTGTATTACTGTACTTAAGCATGGAGACCTCATTTTCAGAATATAGCTGCTCTGGAGAAGGCCTGCTTGAAGGCCACAGGACTAACAACACTGCAAACCAGGCATGACAGTGCAATCTCATTGAAACTTAAAATACTGAACAGTTAAAGAATGTTGATCCAGATATTTTCTTCAGGTCAGATGCAACACAAACAAGGAGCAACGGTTTCAAGCTCAACAAGCCACAATGTAGGACTGAGCACAGATACTTTTTCACCCACAGGGTTATTAACCCATTTTATGTTTTGTGACAATGACTAGGATCAATTTATTCTGATTTTTCAGCCTCATGGCGGCTTTTACTGGCACTGGCATTCTATTCATTCTTTAGAGAACAGCAACAATTTAAATTGAAATGCCAAACCTGGAATAAACTCTTTTGTTACCTCTTCCTCTGACACAAATGGCCAAGAAACAGCTGAGCATCCAGGTGTCTGATTACTTTTGATTTCCCTAAAGTGGGTTATGTTTACATGGGGTTGCAATTCATTTCACCCTATATAGATATAAATACCCTCAAATCAGAGCCAAAATTTGCAATGTAACCTCATAAGAATTGTTTAATTTCAGATTCAAAGTGCTGGAGAACAGAGCCAAAACTTCCAATTACTTGCAGATTGCACTGTATATGACCCTGCAGGAACGTTTGAAATTCCCTGCATGTGTGGTATAACAGTACATGATCCACACACAAAGACACAGGCAATCTTCCTTGAGGAAACAGCTGAATGCGAACGTTCACAGGCATCTATACCTGTAGTGTTTAAATATGATCTATGCAAGTTGGCTCACAAAGTTTTGAAAAGAAATGCATAGATGTTTGTAAAAGTATTGCTCCATGGGACTATACCAGAAATACCAGTAAGTATATTAGGCAAATAGATAGAGCATGGTGTATGTTCAACTGAATATTTCATTACTAGTTTAGCTTATTTAAATTTGTACGTAGTTCACACATACTCCATTGAATAAGACATACTGTAGTTGAATAAAATTCATCAGAGCTGTTATCTCAAGTGGCCACAATTGGGACAGGAAGCTGGCAGCTTGCAGTGGTGACAGTCACATTTAAGAGGGAAGCTTAAGTTCTATATGGCAAACCAAACGTTCCTTAAAAATTTGACTCTTTCAAACTATATTTTTTGGAACAGCAAAGCATTTTCTTATGACTGGAGGTTATTAAACAGGTACAATAAAAAAGGATAATTTTATTGCTTAAATTACCATAATTTACAAAATATTTTAAGAGATAGAAGTGCATTCCTCAAAATACAGTAGAATAATATGAATCAAAATGAAAAAATGGCCTGTTAATAATCTTATATATATATACAAGTCTTGCATTTGATATGCGAGTTTAGAATTCTGAAAATATATTGCATAAATAATCCTCCAGGAAAATCACTGGTACATACATCTGTAATGCTCCAGGATCAGTCTACACACAAACCCTCAACAAACTTCACGTAGCAACTCCTCACTGCTACAAACTCTCTTCTTGCCATTTTCCAAAGGTCTAGTCTTGAAACTTTTCAACTAGTCTTTACTTACATAAACCTGGGAAAAATAATAAATATGTTAAAACTAGTTGTCCAGAACTAGTTAGTGTGCAGCTCTTATGTGTTTCACTCATGATACAAAGAACTGCCTTTTTTCTGAGCCACTGGAAGAGTGAGAGATCAGACCGAGGAAAGTCTTAATTCCTTAAATTGTGTCATTTGCTCCCTTGTATCATTCACAAAAGCTTTCAGACCAACAGCCCACCATGTTTATAACCTTAAAAGAGCACTTGGTAAGAAATAACCATAACTTTAACCATGTTAAATAATTCCTTGTAAAGTTTGAACTTGTATCTGTGAAGCTGACAGCACATTCAGCATCACTTCAACAAGTGCAACTACTGCTGCTGGGCCTGACTCTGAGTGATATACACGGGCTGACCTCCACTCTGTAAAGATAGCAACATTGTACAAACAACATACACCCTAATATGTATGAAAAGACTATGTAATATGTTTGACATCTTACAACTCCATTAGACTTTGACAGTATCTATACCAGTAACACTATTTGTCAAAACTATGAACAGCAATAATTAAAATATTATTCAATTAAGAAGGTTGGTTAAGGTGAAAACCACACTGCAGCTCTTAGTACTTTATTACTCTGTGTGTTCAGTGTTTTTAAGCAATACAATTTTATGTATGTGTGTATATGTGCATATATATGTATGTACACTATATACAGTAGGAACTTCATTTAAAAAACTATGGGATGAATAGACATAGTAAACCACCTAAATTAATGGGACTGCTTTAAAGCACTCAAAATGTATTTTCTGGCACGACAAGATACTGAACACATCACATAATACATTCATTGAAACACTCGAGGACAAGGTCTCATGCACACAACAAAATAACAACCTCCTGGAATGATAGGCAAGATAGGACAAGCAAAACAGAAGAGGTGAAGAGGTGCACCATAGGCACAACTCCAAAACACTATTTGCATAATTCTGCCACCTTCTCCACTGATTATAGGAAATATTGAAAGAAATATGGTGATGTTTAAGAGACAACTGGGCAAGTTCCTGCAGGAAATGCTGGACCAACCAGATTGTAATGGGTATGTAAGCCCACATACCTGTGCTGATCATGTTCATCACAAGACAAACCTGGCTCCCTCAGACTTGGGAGTAGAACTCTTGGAACCAACTACAGATAAATCCAATTCATTGGAATCAGATATTTGTTGCAACTGGAGATGCCTTCAGGAGTCAGGGACAGGATGGTTTTTTTTATTCTTGTGAAAGTGATAAGACTACATAAAAAATATCCGAGTGAGGGATGGATGGATGTGTGCAAAATAGTCCCATTGAAAAGCTGGGATGCAATGGCTACACTGAGATGATCCATCAACATTAAGGGCCCAAGACTTTTCTAACACTCTCCCTCTATACCTATTGCTGTGTTCAAAAGGGAACTTACATAAACTCATCTGAAGGATACCTAATCAACTGGGTTGTAATGCACACATCAGATTACAAGCAGTGGCATCTAACAGCCTCAAGGTGGTGGCCATTAATACCCAAGCTTGACTCTCAGCTTGAGGGAGCTCATTCTCTGAGACAATTCAATACAGTACAAAATACTAGGCCAATTGTCATGATAATGGTAAATATACTATACTTGAACTTTTCAGTTAAAGGATTAAGGATAATTAAGATATAACTTTCTAAAATTACAATGGCAGAGAAATTTTTATACAAATTTAAGTTTTTGATCTTAAGCCTCAGACTATCAAAACAATTACCTCGCCTGTATGCAGAAAGTATGGAAAAGGGGGAGGGAAAAAAATTAAGTATTCTGGGAAGTCATAGGGTTTATCGACATGAGATACACAGTTTGCTGGCTCGTGTTGTAAGGTGAGGGATTTGTGTTCAAGTTACTCTGTGGTGATTCTGAGGATCAATGTCCCAGCAGCAGCATGGTCTCTGACCAGGCCACCTGGTTGATGGTCTGGCGAACCAGGCTGCTGGACGTCGCTGCTTGCAGCCAGGCATACGAATCACAGGCTAGTTGATCAGGTATCCTTTGGAGGTGCTTAAGTTCTCTTTTGAATATCATGAAAGGCCAGGCAGTTGTGCCACTTATGTGTAGTGGGAACGTGTTGAACAGTCTTGGGCTTTTGATGTTGATGGAGTTCTCTCTCAGCGTACCTATTGCACATCCAACCATGCCTCCTAGTCTCATGTGATGTTATTTCTATGTGCACATTTGGAACCAGTCCCTCTAATGTTTTCCAAGTGTAAATTATTATGAATCTCTTGCCTGCGCTCAAACAGAATACAGATGTTAACATTTTAAGCAGTCCCAGTAATTTATATGTTTTATCGAGTGGTTTCTAGCAGTAGAGATCTTTGCACTCTCCAGATCAGCAATTTCTCCACCTTTGAATGAGGTTGTTATTGTGCAGCAATATTACACTCTTAGAGCACACTAGTCTCTTAATTAGCGTTTGGACTAAACCACACCCAGGCTTTGACTAAAATTAATCCTCAGTTTGGCCTAATACATGTGCTAATACACACAGAAATCACAATAATGTGATATACCAAATGAGCAAATCCATTAGAGCCTTGCTGAGGGTCTGAACCTACGTGGTGGATATACGAGGACCGACGTGCGGGATTCTCGTGGGGGCAGTAGCACTCCAAGTTGCAATTCTTTTCCATGTCCAGGTATAGTTGACTAGAGTGCGTCTGGGAACATCCAGAACATAGGTTCGAACCCTCACAAAGGCCTTTGTGGATATGTTCACATGTGCTAATTGTACTAATATATAAGGGTGAATTGGCAGGTAAACTATGTAGTCTATAAACTATGCTTTTATTAAACAAGGTTACATCGATAAAGGAAAGCATACCCAAGCTCTTCAATAACTATTTACCTGCTGCAGCTGAATAATTTGTGGCTGGGTGGTGACCACTGTCTGAGCCTGTTGTGCCACTGCTTGTATAGGAGCAGTTTGAATAATGATTGGCTGCTGAGTGGCACCAGACATCTGTAGTTTGATCATTTGTAGCTGCTGTGGGGTCAATTGGATCTGAAAGATTTGTGATCATTAGTAATCATTTAATTCATGAAAAGGTCTTGTTAACATTAGCTTGAACTTACTATTCAATAACTGATGAATTTATGTAATGAAGTTATTTCTATCTGTGACATATCTGACAACTGTATTAAAAGTTGGCACTGTAAATTTATAATTGTGACGAACAGAAGAGAACTGCACCCAGAGTCATGTACCTATATGGTTTAACTGCATTTATCCGAACCTAATTAAAGGCTTTCACTGTGGTCCCACATAAGAGGTTGTTCTGGAAATTGGAACATATTGGAGAGATGACAGGGAGACTTATGGCATAGATGAAACAGTTTCTGCCAGAAAAATGGGCACAGTAATCTGAGGCAAGGTATCAGACTGGAGAAATGTTATTAGCAAAGTACCACAGGCTTCAGTTCTAGCACCAGTAATGTTCATTGTCTATATAAACAATACCAGAAGTAATACATAATCCTATATACATGTTTGCTGATGATACGAAGCTACTAGGGAAGATGGAAACTTGTGATGATTGCCACGTCCTTCAAAAAGGACCTGGACAAAATGCATATATGGAACAACACTTGGCAAATGGATATTAATGTGAATAAATACTATGTTATGGAATAGGAGAAAATAGATCACACAACCTATAAATTATGTGTAAAAACTTTAAAGAACTGATAATAGAAAGAAATCTAGGGGTGGTTCTGGATGGGAAACTGTCACCCAAGGAAGACAAATTATATTGTGCAGAGCATATGCTACAGTTTCCAACTTTAGAATCGCTTTTAAATACAGGGATGAAGAAATATTAAAGAAGCAACTTTTGTGAGACCAAAGTTGGAATATGCAGCAGTTGCATGATATCAACACCTCAAGAAGCACATCAACAAACTGGAAAAGGTGCATGCAACTAAATGGCTTCCAGAACTGAAAAACAAGAGTTACAAGGAGAGGTCAGAGGCAATAAATATACCATAGCTAGAAGATAGAAGAAAAGAGGTGATATGATTATTATGTACAAAATAACAGGAATCAACAAAACTGACAAAGTAAAATGTTTGAAAACTGCAACTTTAAGAACAAGAGGTCAGAGTGAAAGCAAGGAAACAAAAAGCTGCTGAATTTTTGTTAGAAAGTTCACTTTTGTAAACAGAGTAGTAGAGAGCTGGACCAAGTTAAGTGAAAAGATGGTAGAGGCCAAAATCATCAGTAGTTTCAAAGCATCATATGACAGAGTACTGGGATGACAGGACACCACAAGCACAGCTTTCATCCTGTAACTACACGTAGGTAACTACACACAAGAGATAAGAGGGAAATTAGATTACAACTTTTGTTACTAACAAAACTATACTGAACCTTACAGGTATTTGCTGTACTTGTCCATCAGGTCCAATAATTTGCTGAATAATCTGAATCCCTCCGCCAGCAGTCTGCTGCGTGGTTTGTTGCGCCTGTTGTTGGCTCTGTTGCGCTTGTGCTTGAGACTGAAGCTGAATGATCTGTGGTCCCTGCTGAGGTTGCGTCGCTGATGCTACGTTGGTTCCAGTTGTCTGCAGGTATAGTGTTAGAATTGTTTTTATATATTCAAATTAGAACATCTTTAGTGTTATTCTGTAAATCTACATTATATATATATATCTTTATATGTACTTCTTAAAATGGAGCAGCTAGAGAGGAAGAGACTGGATAGGTTGGCAGGCTGGACTGAGGGATTGGGAAGGGAGGCTTGATTGAGGAACTGCCAGACAAGACAGGATTGGGTGGGTGGGCAGGCAGGACTGAAGAATTGGGCAGGTGGGCAGGTAGGACTTGATTGGGTGGGGGTTGGATTGATCAGGTGTGTGTGTGTGTGGGGGGGGGGGGGGGCGAATGATAAGGTGTGGGGATTTGGGGTTGGATCTAGTCAGCATGTGCTTCTCCAGTATACATTCCCTATAAATTTCTTTCTATGGTGAAAATAATTATATTTTCCTCCTTCCAATTGCCATCAAATGATAAAAAACAGGAAACACATCTTGTAATACCAGTAGTGGTACAATCTTTAGCATCTGTTAAATGCAAACTATCAAACTGTGTGTGTGTATTGAGAAACTAAAATGCCTGTAATCTGAAAAGTTTCAAAAATATATAACACAGCCTTGGTTAACAGGCTATATACTGTACTCTAGACAACTGCAAGGAAACAGTCAATGCCTTTTACTGTGGTCAATATTGTACAAATTTAGAGTACTGTGTTGTTTCATAAACATCATCATTCACTGAAAGTTTCTCAAGAACAATAATTAATAATCAAAGCTCTTCAGAAACTACAATACTTAAGGTAAATTATGAACAAGGTTGGTCTATAATGCAACACAAGTATGAATATATTAAAGATGAATACACCAACATCCTTATAAGGAATGACAACAAATAATGGACAACCAACTGGCACAAAATGGGTAAATCAGCACCTGCACTGCAGAAGCTTGTCCTCCTGTCTGAACAATCTGAATAGTCTGCGGCTGAACAGAAGCTTGCTGTACAGAGTTCTGAGAGTTGTTGCTGCTGTTGTTGGCTGTGGACTGCTGCAACACTGCCTGGTAGTGCTGTGCTATCTGGAAATAATGCTGTTGGAAACTTGGTTAGGTACTGCAGAATGTTCACAGTATTATGTGAAATCTATGAGATTTTCTACACTACCTCAATGAATGAATGGAAAAATAAGATACAAATATGCTGCATTTTATTTATTTATATTATAATATATACAGTATATATTTTTATTATAAATATATAATAATACCTGATCTGTAGGAACTCCGGCACGGTTGGCATCCTCCCGACTCTTGGTAGGTTTTAGCTCGTCTCTCGGTACAATGTCAATCAAAAAGTCAAATTGGTCATACTTGGTAATTGCCATAGCTATGTCATTTCTCTGTGGGACAAGAAAGAATGATCTCACTTTAGAATATACACCATGGATAAGATTTTCTACAACTAATGTTTATGTGCCATAGTCATCAATATTCACACTACCATTTGACTCCATCTGACAAATGCATCAGCTCATCTTTAGTCATGTATTTTGGTCTCCAACTCCACTATGATTCTAATTAAACTTTTTGTATATTTGTATACTGTAATAGTGTTCTTAGTATAAATCACAAGTCAAAACCCCTACACATGTATTTCAGAAGTGAATTACAGCGGGGTCCCAATTATACATGGAGATGTCTTACTGGGAACACCGTAAGAATTGATACATTTAAAATAACAAGAACCTTATGAGAAAAATAGGTAGCCATTCAAAAAATTTAATTTTATATACAATAGAAAAATACTACACACTTTAAATAAAAATGTATTAATGAAAAAATCAGAGTGCATATGATGAGCACTTTCCTGAGTAAGTACACTTAGTTGCACCAAAGGCAAGATCCCACTGACTTCTAGTAAGAATCTCGAGCGATCAAAACAACATTCCATGCCAGCAAACCTTTCAAACTGTTCCCTTCATGTCATATTGGTGCTAAGGAGATACTACAGAATACTTAATCCAGCCCAGAATATACTCAAAAACCCTTTTCAGGTGCATCTTGCCATCAAAAAGGTTCTGAAACGGTGACCATGCTAACACCTGTACAAGAACTGCACCCCAGAGCCATGTACCTATATGGTTTAACTGCATTTACCCGAACCTAAATAAAGGCTTTCACCGGAGTCCCACATAAGAGGTTGTATTGGAAATTCAAAGGCCTGTACCAGCCTTTACGTTACTACATCTGACTGCCTCCAAGTGGCAGCATCGGTGTCACGACAAAGCCCTCCAATCCAACCTCCAAGCATTCTATCCTGACTGGCCTTGGCTGCAGGTTCTATGGGCAGGCAGAGACCAGATCTTTTGGTGCTGTGCATGGAGGAAGAGGATATGATCTCCAGATGGAATATCTAACTTATTAACTAGGGAAAAAAACCCAGTGCATCAAACAAATATATATACCTCATCCTCAAAAAATCATATCACTGAAAATGGAAAAAAGCCTGCAGGAAGATAATGGTCTATGTAACATCCTGGAACTGACCCAAGACAGAGTCAAGCCAGACAATCATCAAAGGAGTCTACAGGATATTAACAGGCACTGATTCAGTCAACAATATATATTTGTAGTAAATATTGTAGTTCATTAAAAGTCTGGATAGTGATGTGGCAGAAATATATGGTTGTAGTGGATGTGTTGAGGCATTTTTGATGTGTTGTGGTATTTAATATTTGGGGCAGCCAATATCACAGCAGCATTCAAAAATAACCATAAAAGACAAGGCAAAAATGTGTAAGGATGTGGAGAACAGGAAAAGGGAAGAGGAAATTAGAGGGCTGATAGCAGAGCAGATACTGCCCAAGAACACGCTCGAAAATGCCTGCATTTGAATGGTGCATTAACCGAATATCTTCGACTATTGTCATGGCCAATCAGGGAACCACATTCTTCAGGGAAAACCTACTCCTAATTGGCTGCTTGGTAACATGTGACAGTTGAATCACCTGCTCTAAGAACTCACCTCACAATTACCTCCATCACCAGTAAATAAGGCAGTGGGGGTAATCCTTCCTTATTAATCAGCAAACACCAGTCACTAATGGAAAACTGATTCAAATGGTGACTGCATACATTATTTTAATGGAATACATGAGTTATGCTTGCATAAATCTAAGTAAACTGTGCTGGATAATAAAACATTTCTGTACCCCTCATGTTATAGTGCTTAGGATACAATGAATATTAAACTCATTCAATATCAATGCACCAAATTTGTTAGTTTTTAAGCAATGTCATGAAACCAGACATATGGTTTATGAAAGATTCATGACATGGTTTTTTTTTAGCTTCAACACCTGGGAAAAGTAAGTTACCTGTAATGTTCTCCGTTTGTTGTCTTCTGTGTGTATCCATGCTCTGAGGGTGAGCTCTGTGATGAATATTTCCGCAGCTTTACTAAACAAGACTGGTGCTTCTGCACTAATCATCTTTACGTCATCATCTAGCTTCATTATACGTTTTATCCGCGCCAATGGTAACTCTTGTTGCCGAAGGTCAGTCTGGGAGAAAGTCAACGTCTTACAAAATATTAATATAAATGTGTTATGATAATGGATTAAGTAAATATTAAAGTCAATAAATATATTAATACAATATATTTTGTTATAAATATTTGTGTAACAAAAGTTACACAACAGTAAAGTTGAACCAATTTTAACATGAATCATGTGCTTGGCAATTTTTTTTCTGCTAAATTATGACACTTAAAACATTCAAGACTGTATAGTTAGATTTGTCTCCTAAAATATTAAATTTATATTATGCATCAAGACAGGTTAAAGTCATTCATTTAAGTCCACCCCACAAAATCCAATTTAAAACTCTTTGTATATTTGTTTTAAACATGATTTAGCCAGACACACACACCCAAGTCACACTTCTCAGATGTGTGGGTTGGGTATCTAATTTCCAACCACATTATTGTGACTACTATACCTGTAGGTTTAGTAAGAAGTCTCAATTTTTTAAGTTTAAAAGTTGACATAAAACAGTCACATACAAACTTATGTACAGTGTCCCAAGATTTTATGTAATCTGTACTTGCAACATACACTTTCAAAGAATCAACTGAGGAAAGTCATCTGGGATACACAGTTGCCCACTGCTAAACGCAAAACACCTCATGGTGAACAAATAACTGTTGCTGAGACAAACACCACTTGTTTTTTTTTGTGCAGTGATTTTTGACATAGTACTGCCTACCTCAAGATTTTAACGAGATGACTGATAGCAATTGTGTCCTCTGTTGACATTTATTAAAACTTGTTTACTAATTAATGTACTGTACATAAAAAATAAAAGCAGGAAACATTAATATAATCAGATGGTTGAAATAATTACTGTATCAGTTACTGAAATTATAACACATTGTAATCTGCTCAGCCTCTGAGCACTAATCTATCACACTAACTTTTTTTTTCTCTCTGGACCTGCTAGCAGTTGCATTGTGTTGGTTCTGAGGATCAACATCCCCCCTCAACTTGGTCCCTGACCAGGTCTCTTGGTTGGTTGGTTGTCTGGTCAACCAGGCTGTTAGATACGGCTGCTCACAGCCTAATGTATGAATCACAGCCCAGTTAATCAGGTATTCTTTGGAGGTGTATATCAAGTTCTCTTTTGAACACCATGATTTAAACACAGAGGTTGGTTAGTTATGCCCCTTATTTTTAGAGGAAAGTGTTAAGATGTTATGAGCCTTTGATGTTGATAGAAATCTCTCTCGGCATACCTATTGCATCTCTGCTTTTCAACGGGACTATTTCACCCATTCTATCAATGGTGTTGATTCCATGTGCAGATTTGGAACCAGCCCCCCCCCCTATTATTTTCCAAGTGTAAATTATTATATCTCTCTTCTGTCTGCACTCCAGATAATACCGATGTAAACATTTTAAACATTCACAATAATTTAGATGTTTTATTGAGTGGATTCAGGCAATAAAAGACCTTTGCACTTTCTCCAGGTCAGCAATTGCAATTTCTCCAGCTTAGGAGGAAGCTGTTATTGTGCAACAATATTCCACCCTAGAGAGCACTGGTGTGTTAAAAAGTATCATTATTGGTCTGATATTTTTTTGTTATTTTATTTACATCAGTTTGGAGGTTGGTTGTGTCCCCTATACAGTATTGTCTACTAATGAAAATCCTAGTTCTGTCTGCAAAGTGTGAGACGGTACTATAGTTTGTGTTCTTGTCTATGTCTGATATGAGGATGAGAGAAAGTACTGGGGGACCTGAGATTTTCATGGTGGATGTTACAGATTTTATTTTTGTGATTCTTACACACCGAGTACGGTTCTGTTCTGATTGCTTACACCTTTACATAGAATGACTTATTCCCTTCAAATTTTTCCTAAGACAACTTGGGAAAGACATCTTGAAGGTTCCAGAAGGCTGCTAACTTGTAAAACATGTCACAGCTAAAGATAGGGAGTCGACAGAATTAAAGTACCTTCAAGATGTCTTCTTAAAGTTAGAAAAAGATCAATGCAAAGACTGAGGAGAATAGCCATTTTTTATTCCTTGGACGCACAAGCAATCAGAAATTAACATTTACCGATCCTACTCAGGAACAAAAGTTGGGTTACATTGTGTAATTGTTTGCACCCTATTCACCCAGCAGTAACTGAGGACATGTTTGTAAAACCACTGCAAGTTAATTTTCAAGGGGAAACTAATAGGGTAATGCTTAACACTTTCGCGCTCTCGGCGCTCAAAAAAAAAAATACCCCAGATGCTTTCGGCACTTCGCGCGCCTACGCGGTAAGACCGAAAAAGTGTACACTCTTTTGACTGTCCTGACAATAATTGAAGGCGCATGTATTTAAATTTGGTATCACTGTGTTCGCAATGAAATTGTCTATAAGAGCATACCTATAAAATGCCGCCCAAGCATAAGGAGTATCAACACCAAATAAAAAACTATGCAGATCACTCGCCGAGAGCGCCAAACAGCAACAAAATGTTTCCACTCTCTTAATGGTTGCGAAGCCTACAGTTGTCCTACATCGCTAATTTTGGTATCATTGGAATCGCAATAAAATTCTCTACACGGACATATGCATATGAATGTTTAATATAGGTAATTGCCCACCCGCAAGAGTGTGTGAAGTGGAGAGTAGTTAGCCGTGAGCGCACTGGCGAAAACACAGGTGGGAAATCATGCTTGGAAAGTTTATACGTTTCCTGACCCTACTTTTCTATGTACGTATTTCTTTTTTATACCAATGTGTTCGCAATAAAATTTTCTATAAGATGAACTGTATAACCTTTGTACAAAGCATGTGTAAGAGAAGCGCCAAATATAGAACCACGTCGCTCAGTATGCGTTCGCGGCAGAAACGAACGCATTGTTTTCGTTCGTTTGATGTTTGTCATGTTTATACTTGTTGAAACATTTTATAATTTGTATGACAGTGATCGCAGTAAAATTCCCTACACAGACATATACATAACACATACAAATATTTCCCACGTGTTGGATATATCAATGGCTAAAGGGAACCCACTGCCACACGCTCGCCACACCCCCAAACATACTTTGTGTATTTTTTTTTTACTCATAGAAGTTTATGTGATATAATATTCATTCTGGTACCAAAAAATTCGCAAATAAATTCTCTACAAAACAAAAGTATCCCCATCCATTTCGGTTAAAAAATGGAATTTATAGAAATATTTTTTCGATTGACGAGAAAAGTAGGCAGCTATGCGGAATCGTAAGAAAAACCAGTGACGAGTTATCTCTAATCGAAAGCGCGAAAGTGTTAAGATGAGCTGCTGTGGAGGAGACTTCTAACTTAACTCAAGAGTACATAGGCACACAACTGACTGCTATCATTCAATAGTTGAATGGTAGCAGTTCAACATTTATATACGTATATTTATATATACTGTATATATATATATATAAACAAAATAAATTTTGGAGCCAACCTGTGTAAGTTGCCGAATCTCATCTGTAACTTTAGGCCAAAAGCCATTGAGGCTCTGCTGTGCTTCTGTCAGCACTTGCTGATTTACTTCCAGCTGCCCATCCACTGACATCTGCAATGATAAAAGTAACTTTAATATAAAAACTAACAAGTCCTAAAAGTAAAGCTTTGAGTAATGTAAAAAGGTCCTTTCTGATCAGATCAGTTAGTTGCTCCATAGGGCAAGATCCAGTCTCCAAGGATGTAATCTTTTATAGTCAAGACAATGATATTTCAACATTAATACCACAGTAACCTCTGCAAAGTTCCTGTATTATACTCATGCTAGAGAGACAGATGGAAAACATTAAATTGAGCTTGGAATGACCAGAAGGCTCATGTTCAAATTCAATATCCAAACCATCTTTAGCATCGCAAAAGATGACCAATTAAGCATTTTCACTAACCTAACTTTCACCTCATCCACTTATAAAATAAACTGATTTAGTTTTAGACAGGAAACCAGGACTGGGATAGTGGCAAAAGTATTACCCTATTCAAAAGAAATAAAATCTCAATAGGCATGAAACATTAAATTCTATTATCTGTAGCAAGAGTGAGAAAAGTCTTAAGTGACGTTTCTATAAAACTGAGAAACATTAAACATTTCCATAAACTAAGTGTTTATTGTTCAAGATATTACATCAAGAGACCAGGTGGGATCCAATGCCACATGGGAAGAGTGAACATTAAAGAAAGTTTTACATATTTTGCAAAAGGAAAGATTCAAGAGGTCAATGTTAAAGCCAAACTGAATAACTATGTCAAGAATGACATTCATGTCACCTCAAGAGTAACGAAAGCTGGTTAAGCGCAAGGCCCCTTACTAGAAGACTTGGGAACTAAGGCTCAACCAGCCACAGTGAAGTAAACAGTCACAAGGACCACAAATCTGTCCAACTTTCACAGGAATGGTACCTTTCACCTTGACAAAGGTAAACAAAATACTGTAATATCCCAAAGGTTCTAGTCAAAGCACAATGTAGCTACTGCTAACATATCTTGATCAAGGATCAGAGAAACACATTCAATATTTGCTCTTATGCCAATGCAAAGAGGTACTTCAGAGGAATTCCAAACTCTGATATACATCCACCTTAGGAACACTTCAGCAAACTCTTCTGCTGTCCAAACTGGAAGAAACCAGGAAAGGCCCTTGCCATTTGCTAACAAATCGACATTCACACATGTGAACCAGAGAGAGGCATGAAGAACTTGAAGCCAGAAGATAAGCTATTGCTAACATCAACACCATAGGGAATGCGTACAGGTGGTTCACCAGCTGATACAACCCATCACCGATTAGCTGTCGGAGAACAAATCCACCTGGACAATTATTGTGAATGCAATTTATAATATGCATCTAAATAACATTTGCTATAATACATTTTTGAGATAGTTTACATAAGAATATTACAGTTTTTATATGAGCTTCTGTTTCCAATCACTAATACAGTACAGCACAGTGAAACCTCAATAAAACAGACCAAGTGGAATTGAACCAACACCAAACAATGGAGATTCACATTATATTTTGTTTTTATTCTTGGCTAATTATCCCTATATGCTTGAGTTTTCTTACTGTAAATAATAGACCACCCAAAAATATAAACAATGCCTTTTTAAGAAAGCAAAATGATAAAAAACTATCTAATAGACCACCCAAAAATATAAACCATGCCTTTTTAAGAAAGCAAAATGATAAAAAACTATCTTGTTTGTTAAAAATCTGAATTTTTTCAACAACTTTGTTATTAAGGATGCCCCTTTGATTAGGGTGAAAAAGAATGTACGTAACAACTGTACTTAACTGATACAGACTATTCTTATTATTGAAAAGAATATCTATAAGAGTATTTAATTCAAAACACATGGAGAATGCAACTTATGAATGGGCTGTGTACCACAGGTGTTCATAATTGCACAATTCTATAAACAAACATATAAAGCCCATATATTTGAGACAAATATTATGAGAAACACTAATTTAACTTGAATGATGGCATTGGTCTGCTAGTTTTAACTCTATCAAAGTGGCCATGACTTGTAACAAATGCATCATTGTTCATAATTACATTTAATTTCATCTAAAGGCAAAATTTTCAAAACGACATCTAGCTTTCTCTTGGATAAACAAAGCTAATGGCATATTTATGACAATTCTGGTTACCTATCCAGTGTTAGTAGCTTTTCCATGTCACAATAGACGTTTTCCTTTTTTTTTTCTTCCAGTGATACATGCTCTAAATGTAATGAGCATGTAATGAGTCATTACATGCTCTAAAAGGCATGCCTTGTCCATGATAATAGTGTACAGTACAGTAGTCCTAAATGTGAAGCAGTTAACCCTAAACATGTGATCATCTGTCTTTCTCCCCTCTCTGTGCTTGATTATCTCCAGCTTAGTGTCCAGGGTAATGAATTGCCTCTTCCTTGGCACTGATGGATCACCAACGTACTTCACAACACAACTAGGTGAGAACTTCCACTTATATGGAAACTTAACAAAATCTCTACCTAACCAATACAGGCTGATTGAAGTTGATTGATGTGCTATGTAATTTGGACACTACTTGAATGCTGCACCCTTTGGATACATGCCCAAGGGGCACTGTCTTATTTGGATACAGGCCTATGGGGTACTGTATTTTTTTTGGATACAATATATTGAAACCTACAGTAACAAATGTACTCGTCTCAAAAACAGCACAAAATTAGGTTTGCTCTCGGCGCACGGTCTGATAATGAAAATTTGGTAATCTTCAGCCATCTTTTTATGCTATCCATTCTATAAAGGTTCCACTGTACATATCTGTATGTTGTGATTCATTTACAAATTTGAGCATGAACAATACACAAATTACCAAAGGGCATTATACAACCACAAACAAATAACTTAGAGTATAATGTAAAGATAACTTTAATAATTTTATTAGCTAGTTTATACGTACACTATGTGCAAACTCCGACTCGGTATATGTCTGCATTGTTCACATGTGCACGTGCGACTTGTTCCGATGAATTTAGCAACCCATCCTGAAAACGGAAAACCCCATCCCAAAAAGCAAGGTGAGCCATCTGGTGCAAGTTGGCAAAAGATAAAACATGACCTTATACCTGTGCAGGTATTCTGGTATTACAATTTTTTTTTTTATAAGTTGGCATTTTAGGCCCTACATTAAGTACAGGAACTGGTTAAAGTTACTCAGGCTATGTTTTCCTAGCACACAATCCACCAAATCGTTTACATTTCGATACCCAGTTATTGTTTGGTAAATAGGGAGAGGGGGAGGGAGATGGTCATATCATATACAAGACGATTTGCCAAGCCTTGTTTTTTGTCTCGTTAAAACTATATAATTTAATGTGTTAAGTTAGGCTGTGTTAGGTTTGGATGGATTAGGTTAAGCTTGGATGTGTTTGATTAGGCTTGGTTAGGTTGGGTCAGGTTAGGCTTGGTTAGGATGGTTTGGATTTAGTTAGTCGAGGTTGGGTAAAGCTAGGTAAGTTTCAAACTCCGTTGGCAAACCGTCTTGTGTATTAAGTGACGGTATCCACAGGGAGGATGGTCAAATTATAAACATGCATTTCACACAAACCTGCTTTTCTAATTTTGTAAATGTTGCTAGAGTAAGTTGGGTTAGATTAAGCAATTTTAAAATCCACATACAGTAAGGAACAGTTTCTAACTGCCCATTCCTGCCCAGGGTTCGAACCTGGGTTGTTCAGTCTTGCAAGGCAAGCAGAAGAGGGGTACTAACCACCACACCGCAAGACGCTGTATAAAATATGAAACACAAATTTAAAGCTAAACTTGGGAAAATTACGGAATACCAAGTCCTGATGCATACTTAGCCATTTCTCAGACCAGTCTAGCCTCGAACTGTAATAACCTCCCCCACAACACAGTTATGGTAAGACCATGTAAAACCTATAGTTATAAATCAAAATAAAATTCAAGGAAGGAACGACCAGGGAGCTAATGAGGGTAGCCTGAAGCGGCGGCCGCCACCAGCCCACAACGGGAGATTCCCTACACACCTCGCCGCACTCCCTACCCAACACTAACTTTGTCCTGGGGTGGTGAGGGGCACCAGGGGCCACCAGGGGGCACCAGGGGGCACCAAGGGGCTTGTATCAAGGGCCCACAGAGCCAAAAACACAGCACATGACGCCGCCGCCGCCTCTCAACACCAGTCTCCTCCGCTTGTAAACAAAAGATGGCGGAGGCTTTACTATATATACAATAATAATAAGAACTACGTAATGCGGAAACTAGAAAAGCCACCATTTTAATGTTATTAAAATATTGGTTTTATTATTTTATTTTATTTTGTTGAGAATTGTTAATTATGGAACTTTTATTTTTAATTAACAAGCAACGCTGCTACCCTATTATAACTCTACGGGCTCACCATAGCCCGTGTTACTTGGAACTTTTTGTTCCAGGTAGCGAATCTTTAACAACAACAACATACCCTATTATAATAATAATAAAAAATAATAATTCTATTTATAAGAAGGTACAATGGGTTTGTGAAATTATATATATATATATATATATATATATATATATATATATATATATATATATATATATATATATATATATATGCGAACAAGCCTGAATGGTCCCCAGGACAATATGCATATATATATATATATATATATATATATATATATATATATATATATATATATATATATATATATATATATATATATATATATATATATATATATTAGTATATTTTGGTAGCAGTCTTTCCTGTAGACATATATTATTATATATGACCGAAAAAGTAAGATTAATAATTCTAACACGAATCCCACAACCAAACCATCGCCAGAGAAATCCTAGTAAACAACACAGAAATCATCGATAGATACAGCGATAGCAGGCGGCTTGACGTTTGCGAGGCATTACACATCACGAAGTCAACACCAGCAATCAACAGCCAATTAATGCACAACTATATTCTACCCACCTCAAGACTCCGCTCCAATATAGAAGCATCAAGAAATATGGACCAATAGGCTTTCTACAATCACTTCTATTCAATACCCATTGTTTCATGTTCTGGCTTGTGTTGATGAAATTAATACCTTATTAAATACCACCTCACCCCATCCACCTCACTCAAATGTAGATATAAACAAAATCGGAGATGTGTAAGTTCTATTCAGTTGTGTATGTGTTAACTAAAGTCTTTGAAAATGTAATAAGTTTTACGAAACGCGCTCAAGTGTCGCGTCAGATTAGAAATAAAAATGAATTTTGGAGAATTGATTTTTGAATTACCTCCAACAGTGAAAAGAAATGTACGAAAGATTGAGAAAATTCGTGTTAGAATTATTAATCTTACTTTTTCGGTCATATATATATATATATATATATATATATATATATATATATATATATATATATATATATATATATATATATATATATATATATATATATATATATATATATATATATATATATATATATATATATATATCCCTTTTGTACATTCATGCTACAGTATGGATCTAAAGCTACTTTTTAGCGAATATGAAATTGACTCGCGAGAAGGTGTCCTACAGGGTGACCCCCTTGCTCCTCTCCTTTTCTGCTTAGTCATTAAACAAGTCACAGAAGTCCTGTCCAGCGAACTTTACATCTGGTTCTTGAATGATGGTACCCTAGCTGGTTCCTAAGACTCCCTCCTGGAAGACATAAGAAAAATCCAGGAGCAAGGTGCAATTTTAGGCCTCACCCTGAACCCTTCTAAGTGTGAAATAATATGTTCCAACCAGGGCATCATAGAGAGAATAGAGGGTCTTCTGCCAAATATCCATATAACTAAACCTGAAGACAGCACACTCCTAGGAGCCCCCCTTCTGGGGTTGAAAGCCATCGATGAGGTCCTTGATAAGAAAATCGCCGACCTTAAGAGGATGGATGGGAAGATTGAGGATATTAATGCTCATGATGTATTCTACCTCATCACCAGATGCCTGTACCTCCCCAGGTTATAGAATTGTCTCTGAATTCACGAATCTCTACGCACTCCCCTCACAAAGTGACGGAGGGTGTGCGAATAATATTGTTGACACAGTTTACATTTGGTCACGTCTACATCAGCAGATAATGAGAATTCCCAGAGATACTTGTAAGCGAGTCTAAGCCGAGCAGTAGTAACATTTAGAAGTCTGCTGATTTTATTGAATGAACCATAGATGTGTGGCTCGTTACACAGAGAAATCACAACAGCGTGATGCATAAAATGAACAAATCCACGGCCCTTGTGGATTTGTTCATGTGTGGCTCTTGCATGATAGAATGATGATTGATAGAATTACTGGTGTCGATTTCAATTTGCCTCAGATTCACAAGATTTAGTTGACGTTCTTGGTGTACCATTGCTCATTGACAATCCAAGGTTACACTCAACGTCTCCTTTAAAGACAGATTCTTTGGCTAACTCATCAGCTTTATCATGCATTCGGAGGCCATCATGAGGACAGGAGATGAAACAGAAAGTCATGAGCAAGATCAATGTGCTGAACGCTCCCAGTAACGTCCATAAGGTGGCGGAGCTTCCACAAATACCTTCCTGTGATTGGCTGTTGCGCGGAATGCCAACACTCTATTATGAACAAAATATAAACTAGGAAATACGCTCTTTTGCACAACAACCTTGTTGTTGTGCAAAAAAACAACAATTTCTGTTTTGTACCTGACAGAAATTTCCATCTAACTGAATCATTTAGTGCATTTAAGACGGCGAAGCATCGTATCATCAATATTATTCAAGTTCAAGTATGTTTATTGAGATAAGCAATAAATACATCTCAAAGGGATAGAGTAGCTTAGGCTATTTCTACCCCCCTCTACTTCAAGTCCCTCAAGGGGCGCACAAATTCAGTGAGTACAAATAGACATATAACAGTACAAGAATCCCATTTAACATTGCATACAGCAAGTACAGCATATAATTGTTACATTCTTGGGGCAAAATTCTTGTAGCTCCTAAGTATACTGTCTATTATACCATTATCACACATCCAAACAATTTGATGTGGTACACTATTTATTTCCTTATTTCTATATTTTTCAATAAGGTGACACTCTAATACATAATGTTCTAAGGTGTGGGCGTACGGCATACTACATAATTTACACTCCTTATCTTTTTCACTGACACCAACACCGTATTGCCAGATATATTTATATCCTAATCGTAATCTCATGTAAATTGAATCCTTCCAAGTAGACTTTCCTTTACCATAAGTGAAGGACGAATTTGTATTTATTATTGAATAATTCTTAAGTGTGTTACTACTGTCCACCATTGCCATTCTCTTTATCATTTCTTCACCCTCCTGAATCACCTTGAGTCTTGTTTTTATTTGTTTCAAGGTTAACTGACATACAACATCAACAAGAGTTTTTTCAGTGGCTCTCTTCGCTATGTCATCAACTACCTCATTCAACAGTATTCCCACATGTGAAGGGATCCACATGAATCTTACTTTATACCCAGTTTTTTCTAGTCTCTTAACATTCTCTCTACACTCTATCACAATATTCTGATATACTGGGCGTCTGCCATTTAAAGACTCTAACGCTCCTCTGCTGTCAATAAAGAAGCAAGCATTTTTACCACATTTGACTACTTCCTGTAATCCTGCTAATACTCCTTGGAGTTCAGCCTGCGTTGAAGAGACATTGTCAGTTAAGCGGCGTCCAATAACAGTATCTACAGTGCCGATGTCAGTGTACTCCCTGATCAAGACTCCACATCCTGCCTTCCCATCCCTAGCTACTGACCCATCACAATATACATGTAGAGTGTTTTCCGTAGGCAGTTTTCTAATTATACAATCATATGTTGCCCTCAGCTCTCCTATTTCATACATACTTTTTTTCTTATGCAAGGGAGTAATTACTACATCTACATTACAATCCTCCCATGGTGGTGTAAATTTTCTCTTGGGCACAGCAATACACTCTGTAATAACATCATACTTTATAACATTATGACATAATTTATTCATATATACTCTCTTCATCATACACTGTTCACTACTTCCCACCTTTTGAACCGAGAGGATTAATTTATTAGCTCCCCCACCTCTCATTAATCTAATGGCAGAGGCTACATTTATCTCTGAAATTCTATCCCCAATACTCTGCAGATTCAACTCCATCCTCATTATCTCAATCATAGCATTTCTTGGGCATCCTAAGATAATTCTCATTGCTTCATTTTGTACCTTCTCCAACTTGCCCATCCTACCTTTACCAAAACAAGAAATGACAGGTGCAGCATAATCAATAAGAGATCTTACAGTACTCAAGTATAACATTCGTAGCACAGGGACTCCCACTCCCTTTCCACAGCATGCCAAAGCCTTCAGAGGTTGTAATCTCTTCCGACATTGACCCAACAGTCTGTTCATCTCAGCTTCCAAACTCTCATGGGTATATCCAACATATATGCCTAAATATTTATATATATTAACTCTCTCTATATTTTTATCGTTTATTTTCAAAACAATGGGGCTCCGACTTCTACATTCAAACTTAGTTTTGTTTTCATTAACCACCAATCCCATATGGTGACACAGGTTTCCGAAATTGTCCAACACTGTTTGAACCTTTGAAATATCTTTGCCCTGAAACAAAATATCATCGGCATATATGATCGGAGTTACCCCATTTGAGTATCTCTCAGATGCTATCATATTCATTAGTACATTAAACAGGGTGGGACTCAACACTCCTCCCTGAGGTGTGCCGAGTTCAAAAGACCTCACACGTGACATACAACCTTGATACCACACCTGAGCCTTCCTTTCGTAAAGATAATCCCCTATCCAGCGCAATAATCTCCCTTTAACACCAAGACTAGCTAATTCATATAAAATAACCTCTTTGTTGGCTTTATCAAAAGCTCCTTGTAAATCAATGAAAATTCTATAATAATCATTTTCATTAGCTAAACATTTAATAATACAATCAGAGGTACTTTTTCCTTTGAGGAACCCAAACAAATTACTAGACAGCTGATCACCTATTATATATAAAAGTCTATTTAAAATGATCCTCTCCATCATTTTACAAAAACACGAGGTTAAAGACACAGGTCTATACTCTCCATTGGCTTTAGGGATAGGGATGATCATAGCTTTTTCCATTTACTGGGAATACTGCCCTCTTTATAACTAATATTAAAG